AGATGACATGGAAGAAAATGAGGAGCTCACAACCTCATATGCAAATTCAGAACCATCACTTCACAATGCACCTATTACTCCTGCTGAGAACATAGGTAATGCCCATGGCGCTACACTCACGGAAGGTGAGAATTGTTTTAATATACTAAATTTTTCCATAAACCATGCTATCATAGAGCAATTGTTAGTGGAACCCTCTCTTGATTTATCTTTGTCCTATGATAATTTACTTGATGTTCCTTGTGACAAAGATGAATTGGTTGAAGATACTTCAGTTTTACATGTTTTGGAACCAGTGATTTGTGCTGAAAATAAACATGTTATTCATATTGCTACTAAAATTAATGAGTTCAAACTGTTGTCTTCTTTACATACTTTGGGTTATATTGAATTTGATGTTTTGTGTAATCTAGATTATTTGGAAGAGAGCCTTTTTAAATATGCTGATTTGCCTTTGTTTTCTAAACACACATATCATGTTATTGGCAGATATAACAACAAGGGACAATATATGATACATCGAGTATACATTCGTAGTAATATGAATTCTCCTTTTGTTGTACAAGATTATGATCGTTTAGAGGGCAGCCATAATAATACAAATAATTTCTCATGTTCCTCAAAGAAACAAGTTCACTTCCAAGAAGGGGAGCATTGTTGGTTGCTACCTATATCTGCTAGACCATATATTCCTGCATTGTCTTTGGTTAGTTCTAATCTTTTGCAGGATAGTGTTGATATACATCGTGTGCATTCGGATCATGGAGTCTATAAGCTTGCTGAAATTTTTATGCGAGATGACATGCTAGAAACTTGGAAACATGGTCACGTTCCTTCTCACAATTATTTTAGATCTCTTTGTCTTCGCAACCCTGTTCTCCTTTGTGTTGTATAGGATCAGTTTTAAACACAATCGACGCTGAGGATGGCTTTTCATCAAGAAGGGGAGGATGATGAGGACATGACAACCATGCATATGACCAAGTTTGGCGCATGGTATGGAGGGGTAGGAGGCCAGCAAGGGTGTCCAAGTCAAGAAGGAGGCCCAAAACTAATTTGGTTCGAGTCCCCAAGGTGGAGGCCCAAAGCAACTCAAGTTCGAGTCTGACTCGGCCTCCAGGATCAGTCTGCCTTAAACTGGTCACCCAGGACGCATCCGGACTCTGTTTTCGATGATCCATATATGGATGGAAAGCTAATTTGATAACAAAGCCAATCCAAGTGGTCTCACATCAAAAGTTGTTCGGAATCAATGAGAATTGTGGTCATAAGTCAGCGTCCAGAATCTGCCAAGGTGCTGCATCACCGTCTTTTGGTCCGTTGGACCGTGTATCGTGTTTGGGCCCATTAGGGGCTGCTCCTCCCTTAGGGTTTTGGTTTTGCTTAGATTATTCTGTCAAGAACAGTTTCGCCGTTCATCGGTTTGTGAGACCCCAACTTCGAGAGTTTAATCATTTCATCTGCAATTTAGTTGTGTTCTTTCTTGTTCTTGCTTGTGTTCTTCGTTGCGCGCAGGGATTAGCCTTCTTGGCGAGGTCAACCTGGTCCGTGACTTGGTTGATAACCAGAGGAGCTATGGTGCTAAGATTGTAGGGTTCGATCTTTCGATCTGAAGTCGGATCGGTGTGTCATTCTCCACCACAACAATAGTTACCACCACCTGACGAAAGATCTTGATCCCCGTTCACATTACGTGGCCTCCCTTGCAAGTCAAGTTGTTCATTGTGAGCAGCCTCGGCTAGCACAATGGTGGCCTCATTTGCTCAGCGCTGCGAATGGTTGGCGTTCCTGTTGACATGAGCGGCACAGTCCTCGTCGGTTTCCCCATCCCATGGAGGGCTATCGACACTGACATTGAAAATCCCGCCTCCTCAGAAGGGTGGGAAAGGAGGTTGAACAGCAGCGGTTTCGTCGACAGTCTCCGTCGAGCCCTAGGACTCGGAGTCTGGGTTTTTCTCCAGGATGGTTTGGAGGGATGCTTCGGGACGTCGGCCGATTTGCAGCATGTTGACTGTCAGCGAGAGCTGGTCAGTGATCTGATTGGCGAGAGAATAGATGTCTCCCACCTAGTTAGTGAATTTGCCCCTTAGGAGGCAATGATGCTGGTGAGCCCAAAGGGTAGGGCCGTAACCCCTGGAGTTTCCTGATTGGCCTCTGATGGATCAGAATCGGAGGGTGGTCAGCGTTGAACCAGAGTGGTCAGAGCCGATTCCACGATGGAGAGGCAGTCGGCGAGCTTCTAGCCAACCTGATCGATGGATGCGATCAGATCATCATTGCTGATCCGCTTCCTCGGGTAGCGGGGGAGTGGGTGGTGAATTGTTGATGAAGACGACCTCGTAGGTAGTTCCGAGATTAGATCTGTAGTCGTAGGTGTTGGGGTGGTCGATGCAGAATCGATCTGCACCATCTCAATGAGCTCTCTGTCTCCATCAGCGTTGATGACCTAGGAGATCGATCCGACCATAAAGATCTGGCCAGGCTGTGGGAAGGACGAAGAGCCTACAAAACATACCATCTTGTTCATCATGGAAACAGCACGCACACCCCTACAAGGAAAAGAAGTATGAAAGCATGCCGACGTCATCTGACATGCGCGTATCAAGACCCCAGACTTGCTGCCCAAGATCAGCACCCTGATCCAAACAGCATGGAGTAGCTTGATAGCATAGCGATGAGATGTAGCAAGATCCAACCACCAAGGGAGGCCCTAGCTTAGCTGGCGACGCTTGCATAAAGAATCCAAACACAGAGGAGTCCCCAGCTTAGCTGATGATGCTTGCACGAAGAATCCGAGCACCAAGGAGTCCCCGACTTAGCTGGTGATGCTTGCATGAAGAATCCGAGCATCGAGGAGTCCACGGCTTAGCTGGCGACTCCCCAGCGTAGCTGACGATGAAGCCCATGCGATGAGTAGTCCAACCAACTGGTCAGCGGCGAAGTGAATGCCGAGCAGGAGTGAACGTCGAGTAGGAGTGAGCGTCGAGTAGGAGTGAGCGCCGAGCAGTCCGACCAGTTGGTTGGCGGTGAAGTCCGTCTGATGATCATCTTGTCCAGTCCCTGAGCGTAAGCTCTTTGATCGAGCCATGCCCCTATGAAACAAATGTGTAGAATAGGTAGTATATGATGTAAAAATAAAATATATGAACTCCAGAGAAGAATCAAGAATGGTGATGAAATAGCGTATACAGCTAGGCGATCAGTTGGTGTAAACACTTAGTGTTATTCTGAAGATGTGTTTATATTTAATATAAACCGTCCGACCAGTTAGTGTGTAGCTGAGTCTCTAGACCTAGCTAGCCTATTAACCATAATGCTAACGTAGAGCCCATGTGCGTGTAGGAAGAACAAAGCATCGCCAAGGAGCCGCTGCCAACCACCCGTAACGCAGAGGGCAGACGCTCGTGCACGTGTAGGCAGAAGCTAGAGAAAGGGTCATCTCTGAGAACATCCGAGCATCAACATGACTATTCGGGGATTTACCTTAGGTTTAGCTGTATGTCATCTTTAAGATGGTATACATGAAAGAAAATCGTTTGGTGCACAAATATGGAGAAAATAGCTTGGAAAAATATCATGAAGATATATGAAGATTGGAGAATATTTAAAAGAATATTAAAGCATGACTTAGCTTGTGTGAAGTCAAGCGGAGGCGGCGACCGATCAGCTGTTGGAGAATTGCTCCCTGGATGACATGCATGCATTGCTTCAATCTAGTTAGCCTGCCATAGAATCTGGTCCTATAAGGGCACTCCTAATGGAGAATTAATAATGGTATCTCTATTAAATGACTTGACAGCTAAGAAAAACGCTGACATCGCAGTCTAATTAATGGGAAAGAGATGAAACCAGATGAAACCGTTTCTTCTAGAGGAAATGGCGTCGGCTCTTGAACCCATGCATGAAGAAACAGGGATTTTAGTGTTGGGAAGAAACCAGTCGTTTCATCGAGGTGGGGCCGCGCTGCCTCGCGGGCAACGGCGTGCGCTCGCCCGCGTCGCCGTTGCACTGGCCGCGTGCTCGCCGACCGCCACCACGCTCGCCGGCAGCCGTGCGCGCTCGCCAGCCGCCACCACGCTCGTCCGCTGTCGCTACGCACGCTCACCGGCTGCCACAGCGCTCGCCCGCGTCGCCGCGAAAGCTCGCCGGCTGCCGCGAGTGCTCGCCCGCGTCCCTGCAATTCCCGCTCGCCCACGCTTCCGCAGCGTGCCGCCGTGCTCGCCGGCCGCCGCGAGCGCTCGCCCGCTACGTCTGCGTCGTGACGGAATCGTTGGATCCAAACCGAAGATGAGAAAGCTGCCGGGGTCGATGGGCACGGGGAAGCTAGGGTTGAGCCGGCGCTCGTTGATGTAGGTGCCGTTGGTGCTGTCCAGGTCCGTCACCAGCAGGCTCCCGCCCTTCTTCTCCAGCCGAGCATGCGTGCCTGAAACTACAGGCAGTGCAACATACATGATCAGATTGCTGCTTGTTTGGCCCTGGCTTGTTTGATCCATTGCGTTGTTACATCCATGGTTGCTTATCATCGATTGCAAGTTGAACTGACAGAGGACAAATAGAGCTAGTGACTGAACTTTTGCAAGAACGGACCTGTGGCAACGGGGAGGACGATGTAGAGGAGAGAAAGTAACGGGACGAAAGGATAAGAGAGAAAAAAGTCTAATATTTATTGCTCGAAGATACCTGCATCGGAGGAGATAGTTTCTAAGGATGATTTTCGCTGACGTGGTTATCTTGAACATCGTTTTAACCACGGAGACTACCCTAAGATACTCCATATACGGTAGTTTCTCTTTTATCCTTTTTCCCTACTCTCTTTTTTTGGTCTCACTTATTGATCCAACCCATATAACTCCATATATTGGGATCATTTCAATAAATAAGGTCACATCATTGTATACGATAACAATATATATAGTTGGAGTAGGTTCTATACATACATACTCGATGGCTGACTCATAGGTATATATAACACCAAAAACACAACATGGAACAATAGCGCATCACGGACCGTTGACAGAGGAGACGATTCTGTCGAGCATGGCCTTGGCTTTGTCACTTTTGGGCTTGGAGATATAGAAGACGTGACCCTCACCCTCCGTCTCCAGCAGCTCCACCGCTCCCTGCCCCTCGGCGACCCTCGCCTCAGCCACCACCTCTGCGTACGCTCGGCCGCACCACCTCAGGAAGTCATACTCTACGGTGCACACCATGAGCCGCTCGCACGCCATCGTGTCCAGCGCTGGCGCGTCCGGGAGCCGTCGGGTTCATCCACGGGTCGTCCATGCTGTTGGCACCTGGGCACGCGAACAGCCAGAGCCACACGCCCATGGCGCGCCCGCTGGGGTGGCGCGGCTCCCCTCCACGGCCTCGGAGCCCCAGAACCAGGGGTGGATCAGCACCGCGCCCTTCAGCCTCCGCCGTGTCTGGGCGCTGACCATGTCGGGGTGGACGGTCAGGTAGTGGCAGATGTTGGCGCCGACACTGTCCCCGCCCAAGAAGACGCGGCCGAGGTCGCCGTACGCCGCGACACAGTGGTCGGCCGCGGAGAGCGCCCACTTAAGCGCGGCGAGACAGTCATCGTAGGCCGCAGGGAGCGGGTGCTCCGGCGCGAGGCGGTACTCGACGGAGACACCGAGGGTCGGGCAAAGCGCCGTGAGCTCACATTGTGAAGCGCGGCAGCCCGGGACGCGGTGGACTCAACCACGGCCCGCCCGCCGTGGGCGTGAGACGATGATCGGGAGCTTATCTCACGGTGGTAAAGCCGGGGCGTAGAGGCGGGCGGAATAGGAGCCAATGGATGTCCCTAGACCGACGCCTGGCGGCGGCGTTGAGGCTGCCGATCGGCGGGTTACTGGGGCGCCGACGCGCCGCTTTTATGTGAGACTCCTGACGAGCCCGAAGTCGTGGAGTACCTCATCGGCGGTGGCCTCGGTTGTTGGGACGGTGGTGTCGTCGTCAGACGCCATGGGCGAGGTCTCTTTGAGTCTGCAGGCTGAGCTTCCAAGATGAGATGGTTTCTGTAGTGTAATTTTTGCATTTTGGTCCCTTTTGAAAATGTTTTTTACAAAAAAACCTATGCCAAAACATTTGCTGAAAATAGACCATTTTAGGCGTCTTAGAACAAGGTATGAGGGTCGGCGTCGACTGACACGACGCCGAGGTCTTGCCACGTCATGGACGACCCCGGTCGACGGCGACACGGTGGCGCATGGGGCCCACTACGTCGTCGTCGTGTCAGCCAACACCACAGACCTAAATTCGATGCTGTGGGGAGTCACGCCGAGCTCTTGGCACCATCCGACGCGCGGCCCAGGCGGGCCAACAACACTTCGTGGGCCAAGAGGTCGGCGTGCGATCAGATGACGATTTTTGCTATGACTTAGAGACTAGAATTTTACCATGACTTGGACATTGACAAATTTAAAATTTTACCATGACTTGGATATTGAGAAATGTGGCTAACTCTACAGTTTTACACTGACTTGATATTTGAGCACTTAAAACAACATAGAAATACTTAGGATAAAAAAATGATGTAGGGTTCATGTTGATGAACGAGCCTAAAAATGTTTTTAAGTGTTGGATCAATAGTTAACACCCTTTTTCAATGTGCAGTTTTGACCACAGTAAAACTATAGTTTCTTTTCTAGATATAAAGTTTGGCCTTTAATAGAAGTTGTAGTTTGAGTTGAGTACAACAAACTTTGTTTTTGGACCTAAACCTAAATCAGTTTTTAACATGGCCAAATAGTCACCACAAGTTTGAATACAGTGCTATTTTGTAGCAGTGAATTGACATGTTTGCGATATTTTATCTTCTAAATTTGTATAGCAACTCAATTTAATACCTTACTACGAGTTTGAGTACTCTCTGAGGATATGACAACAAAACAAGTCTCGTCAAGTTTGGACTTAGCCACGGTAAAAAATCAGACCATCTCGTGGTAAATATACATATGTCCATCTCATGGTAAAATCACAGATTTAGACAGATTGTAAGATATCCAAGTCACAATAAAATTCAATATGGCATTGCCATGGTAAAAATTCAAATTACATATCCATCTCATAGTAAAAATGCAACCAAATTTTGACATTATCATCTCATGGTAAAATTTTAGGATGTCCAAGTCATGATAGTTTGTAGTTAGGATTGAAAAAAAATCAGCTCGTACTACTACGGAATCTGTCTCTACGGTGCACTTATAGGAGAAAGAAGGGAATAAGGCTCGGACAGGAATGTTGGGCGTGGGGTTAAAGCAGCCAGCTTGGCACCGTTGTTAGTGGCGCCAAGCTTGGTGCCACCAACGATGGCGCCGAGCTAAAGGTCAAGATTTTGAAATCATACCTCCAGGGGCATTTTTGTGAGAAACTTTCGAAAAAAGAACTAAAAAATAAAAAAATCGGTCGTCTCGGCATGGGCGGGCGCAAGGCTGACGCCGGCGCCAGAGCTGCACAGCGAGGGAGCAGGGTTACACGGCTGTATGAGTTGTTCTTTTCAATCTCCTAAGGTATGCTAGGTTTAGTTTGCAACATACCATCGTTAGTTTTCATGTGAGTGTGTAATCGTAGTACCTTTGCAACGTCTGTATCACTTGTTTCTTTCAATCCCCCAAGGCATGCTAGGTTTAGTTTGCGACATGCCATTGTTAGGTTTGATGTGAGTGTAATCGTTGTGCATTCGCTATTTCATAAATTGCAGCCTTGGATAGAAGGGGCCCAATTGCGCCTCTTCGAATGGAGGAGGAGGAAGAAGGGGGGGCATGGCCGCTGCAAGAGTCCAGACCTCGGCGTTGAGTCGGGCCGCGCCGAGTCTGGTGGCTCGACGTTAAGTGACCCCGCGCCGAGCTATTAGGCCACGAAGCGTTGTTGGGCCGCCTGGGCTGCGCGCCGCATGGTGCCAATAGCTCGGCGTAACTCCCCACAGCGCCGAATTTAGGCCTGTGACGTTGGCTGACACGACGCCGACGTAGTGGGCCCCATGCGCCACCGTGTCGCCGTCGACCGGGGTCGTCTGTGACGTGGCAAGACCTCGGCGTCGTGTCAGGCGACGCCGACCCTCATACCTTGGCGTCATGTTCTAAGACGCCTAAAAATGGTCTATTTTCAGCAAACGTTTTGGTATAGGTGTTTTTATAGAAAATGTTTTCAAAAGGGACCCAAATGCAAAAATTACACGTTTCTGTACGTGTTGTGTGGGTGCAGTGATCAGCGAGGTGGTGCATATATATTTATTATATTATATTATATATGGCATCACCATCACGGCCGGATGTGTGATGGCGGTGGCTTCTAGCTAGTAGTAGATGGCAATACGGGCTTGGCTGTTACGTGGTGGAGGCGAATAGGCGATGCACCGGAGCACGACGCGAAGACACAAACAAATTGGCCGTGTAGTACGTGTGCCTCGCCGCTCGCCGGCCATGCTGACTTTGGTGAAGTTGTCGTGATCCAACTGATTATTGAGCCCTGACCTTGCTCGATCCATCAACTATAGTACAATTCAACAGCTGCTGGCTGACCGTATATCATGACCATTGCTAGTTGCCTCCAAGATGAGTAGCAAACTGTGACCAGAATAGAGCCCTTTTTAAATTGCCTCCGCAAAGCACCGTTCCTGCGCTCTGGGTGTGCAGTGGACCAGTGGTCAATGAGTCTATACTCTACACCCGGGTAGGCGAGATTATTAGCCACAATATAGGCGAGCCCGATAGAATATTCTTTCTCCTAAATGAAACATACTTTCAATACATATATATATCGCTGAAACTTGAGATGTATGCATAGTTGCATTAAAGGTACTATAAAAATTCAAATTCATTCGCCTAATCATTTTTATTTTTGCCCTGTTCACTTGAATTTATCAGCCTGGCTTATTAGCCATGGTACTGTGTTTTTCTCTCCCAACAAAACAGTATCAGCGGGCATCGGCAGCAGAAACCATCAGCCGAACAACACATTTATATATAACTGGCATTTTAGGTGAGAGGTGATAATTAGCCAGCAAGCCTGAAGATGTCTTCTAAGTCCTACAGCTGCATTCTGGATATCCAGAAAACTGACCGACACAAAGGATAAATTCAGTTAATCATCAATTCTTGACCATTGTAAATGACTACTTGAGACAAAATTCCTTTATTACAAAAAAAGAGGCTATTATAGGCCTTCTTTCCACCGTTCATAAAAAAATATCAATTAAAAATTTCAACTGGCCTCTCTCAACTATTACAGGAGTCCGATTTGGTCGACTATCTCAGTTAGAAAACTAGATTTTTAGATTCCTCAAACTCCTGGGGCCTGTTTGCTGGGAGAAATTTGGAGAAATCTGAAGAAATTTGTGAGTGCATGAACAGTAAAATTTAGTAGGTGAACAGTAAAATCCGGCTGAAATTTCCACCAACCGAACGCAGCCCTGAAATGGTCAGATTTACCTACATAAACGGTTTTGGTTGATGTGGCACAAGCTAAGTCAGACTTTCATGATAGTTCAAGAAACTTAATTATACTTTATAAAAAATCTGTAGGAATGTTTTTTTAAAAAACATCCAAACTTTTTAGAATAAATATGTATTTTACCAATGTATAATTTAATATTAGAAAATTTGTTTTAACTCAGAAGAAATGAAACTAGTTTCATAGTTTCCGTAAAATCATGCTCTACCATCTTGTTAGATGATGTGCTCCTGGTGCATGTGCACTGATGGTCAAGTCACAGAAGCAGCACTCGTGTCTGTCCCAATATTGTTGGCCAAGTCGCAAACATTAGTTTGGGAGTCTGAAGTCGCACGCCGGCTATCGCTGATGGTCCAACAAGTTTGCACACGTCATGGTCGTGATGTCCCCTAGAAAACAATAATGCCACAAAGTTAAACCACATGATATGTGTTGCTAATGTGCAATTAAAGTTTGAATTATATTTTTATCTGAAATATCTTGTGCATGCCTCGATGGTTAAGCAAGACACTGTAGCTAAGGAAATGTTTTTTTCAGTTTGCATGGTAGGTTACACACGGTGATTCGCGCTGTGGTTTGCAAGGAGTTCTCTTGGTAATTGGTATGCATCCTCCATTTTCATATTTGGTCTAATTTGAAATTTTAGAAGACCATATCAGATTCGAATAATTCTAAGCAAAGAACAAAGATAGAGCATAATTTTAGAGAACAATATGAAACGATTTTCATATTTTGACGAGTTAAAATATTTTTATTTTGCTTACCCCTCATAGCT